TAATAAGCCAAAAATGAGGAATCTTGTGCCAAATATACGGTATAGATGAGTCGATTGACTCATTTAGCTGCTAGGATGCTCGGTTTATTTTCAGAAATACATCATCAATTTGATATATTTTTCGTCAGAAAAGGGCTACCGACTAGTTCACCGAGTAAATAGAAAAAATAAGTTAATTTAAAAAAGGATGAAACGGAAGTGTTCGTTTACTCTGAAAGGTTATTAAACGCAGTAGCGTAGCTTGACCTTTTAGCCTAGGGTTGGAGGGTCATCTATGGTAAAATTAACCGACGAAGACATATAAGTACTAATTCACCTACCTATAAACGATTTTACCGATAAGCTTGAAATATGATTTTGAAGATCAATTTAAGGTTTAACTACATTCTTGCCACCCCTGGTTGTAACTTCAACACCCACCCGTGGTTGTAAGGAACTCGTTTCACTTTGTTAATTAAAGGATATCTAACTTCATTTCCCATCTATTTACTAAAGTTTTAATGAATTTTGCTTTACTTATTTTATTTTCGATCCATCACTCATTACCATTAAGTTGGTTAAAGTAGAAAAATAGATTCTTTCCTTTGCTTCTCAGCTATTGGTGAGACATGCATCATCCCTAAGGCACATTTTCAATTACCCAGTCTGAGTCTATGTCCTATATTTTACACCTGCTAATTGCAAAACCTTCTTAATCAAATTTTATCCAAATTCCATCAACGATGCACCTTTCACTCGCTATCAGCTGCGGTTAATTCACAAGGCCAAAATTTGCATGGCCAGGGCCTCCTCTTAAACTGTTAAGAATGTTAGTGTGTGTAATGGAATCTGGTCTGGGCATGTGTGACGCAAGGCATTACTAACATTTAACCGAAGCATTCTGCGCAGCAATTAGAGGGTCACTGGAGTGGTGCAGCAACTTAGATATGAACTTGCCTCGCACTGATTTTGAAAACACATTTTATACAACGAAAAATAACATGGGACCATAGCGAAAACAGCAAATGCAGAAGCTCCCCCGCAGAGGATGCCTTTACAGCATGACTCATTGCCTTTACCTAGATCAGATTTATCTTCATTTTTGGGGGTATTTATTTGGTGTGAGCAGAAGCTACTCTTTTCGCCTTAGTTATCTTGAAGATGACCGCAGTGCATGCTGAAGAGTCTGATTTTTTGTTGCTGTGAAGTTGAAGCAGACTTTATCAATTCTAATCAATAACAGGTTTTACTTCTTGGATAGTTTTCATTTATATAATTGCTCATAGTTCTGCATGAACTCGAGTCTACTCGAGATCAACCCCGGAATACATGCAATGCAAACCAATATGACCATTATTTTGTGACCACGCCTTACTGTATACTGACAATAATCTTGTTGAGGCACACCCGCCAAAAAGACAAAATCTGAAATTAAAAAGTACATAAAAGGAAGAGGCAAGTGGAAAGAAAAAAAACGGACGACTCTAATAAGGAAAAGGTCCCTTTGTCAAATGAATGAGATTGTTTTGATTTTAATACAGTTTTGCTAAATACAAATGGCCGGCCATAAGGGGTGAAATTGTAAAGAATTCTGCTGTTTTGAATCGCAAAAAATGGCCGTTGACCGTACTAACGAGGATCTTCTATGTGACTATGTATGTCCGTTTTGGCGGGCCAAAAAGTTGCCATATTAACATGGTGTTTGTGTTAAGAAAGTGGCCGTAAAGCGGGGTTCCGATGTACTGATTAATGATGATTATGATTATTGAAATGGGAATATTGATGTTGGCTTTTTTCTGAGTGACTTACTGAAACCAGAAATTTAGGGAAAGTGCAAGTAAAACTGACGATGCAAAAGATGCGTATTGCTTTTCATGTCTTTCAGTATTCAAAATACTGCTCATGCCCTTGATGACGACATTTTTAAATTGTTAAACCGTTTTGATGTCGGAAGATATTGCAAGCTGTGCCTCTCCTGAGAGTCACTACCCATGACGCCCCTGCAGTGGCATTTTAATGATTCCCAACTGCATGAGTTTCAACCTAAGCGCATCCCCTCGCATGATTTATATGTACTTTTTCGAATTGCTTGAACCCTTGACCTACATTTTCCGTTCCCAAAACCGCTATTGGTTGGTGACTGCGTGAAAGTCGCCCTCCAATCGAGATGAGCATAGAGCAAGGCTCCGGCCAATATGGCACCCAACGGAGTCATTCTGTTGTCTTGAATTTTTAATGTTATCCTCAAAAAGCTTAACAAAAAACAACTGCATATATCAAATGTTTTGTTCTTGGACACAACATACGAAGATATGCAGGTCATAACAACGTAGCTTGTGAAATGAGATTGCTATTTTAGCTCAAAGTCAATTCAGATAGAAGCATTTCAAAGCTTCTCTCTGGGACCAGGCCAACTAACCAAACAGCTGCGGAGTCGTTGACAAATCCCTTCCACTGAAGAGGGCGCGTTTGTATACATCATCACCACAAGCAGATAGAGGCAATTTGCAAAAAGGAGATGATCCAATTCAATATAGTTTCCCTCTTCAAAAGTTGAGATGATGTTTACAGATATGTGTATGGCCTACTCGAAAAATTCAATTCATCTCTTTATTTGACGATTTGACTGCGTCTTGGACGGTTTTCTATACGTCAGAGCTGTTTTCTTTACATTTACAAATTGCTAGATCAATAAATGTAAAAAGTAAAGAAAAATTATTACAGCTGTATAGACTGGGTGACTGTTGTAATCTGTCTTCATATGTTTTCCTTTTCCCCATCAAGGTCGGTTTTCTGAATTGTCTGTATGTTTGTTTCCTTGTTTGTTTGTTTGTTTGTTTGTACTATCATAGCACTTGAAAATGGTTTAAGGATATCATTAACTTACTCTGCTTTAATAACATGATTTCAACAGCAAGCCGTCTTAGTTTAAACTAAACAGTAGAGGCTGCATCACTCAAGAAACATTCATTAGAGATGTTCTAGATTGCGATACTTATAGTGACAAAATAATTATTCAAGGGAAAGGAAACATTATATCGATTTCCTGATTTGTAAAACAATGAAAAGAAATTTGCTGATCAGTATGAAAATCTAGCTGACTTTGTTTCACCAGCACCATATATGCTTTACCAATCTATAAGCTTAGTTCAGTCTATTAAAGCAAGACCAGTGCTTTCAGTTCCATCAATAAAAACCGTTCGTTCTAAAGAAATTTTTCTTTTTTTCTGAAAAGTATCATACCTTTTCCGGAGAAATCTCCACCTAGAATTTCAAGAACTTTTCCTATCTGCCAATTAAACATCCTATTTCCATTCGGTTTTTAGATACTTCATGGCAAACCTGAGTCAGGAAAAGATCGCCGCCCCATGGCCAATGGCCAGAGGAAGGAATATATAAATTATATAAACAAAAATAAATCGAGTAAGATTTATAGAAAAAGGTATATGAAAAAGAAAATTTGAAAACTTGACGAAAAAATAATAAAATCAAATAATTTTTAAAACCTCTATTTTTTATATTTTAAACACTGTAAAATTTAGGCGTTAACTTTTTATAATTTATGTGTATATCTAACTGATGACACCCTTTTGTTATTAATTGGTATAAGCATGCAACTTAATATCAGTCGCAAAAAATATATAAAATCATTAAATAATGAAAAATACTGTTTGCTAGTCGGTCATAAAGTGATCGATACCGATAATCATATTATGATTATATTAAGCGTGAACCGCGGAGTAGCAACTTAGAACCGTCTTGTTGTATACACCAAATAATGCATAACCCTCGAATATATCAAATATATATATCATAATTGAAAACAAGCAACAATTTGTTTAAGTTCTAAAAAAACAGAATTGCAAGGAATTTCTAACGTTAGAAATTCAATTTTTTTTAAATCCACTTAAGCTTTTAATAATAAGCTAGATCAAAGCATGAAAATAAAGGGTTGGTGCAATCTATCTCGATTTTTTAAAACTATCAAAGTTTTAACTTCAGCAAATTTTGCATTCTGAATCATGATTTATGATGACGATAGATCTAAAAAATCCTCTTCTACAATGACCATGCCATTCTAGGTGTGTGGATTCAATGTTTCTAAAGTTATAAATACATATGCATAATTGAAATATACAGTGCAGTCTAGGTTGGATTAAAACTTTGTAATTAAAAGTTTTAGGGACTTTTTTAAACATTTACCATTCAACCAAATCGAACCAAACAGATATAATTTTTTGCCTAACCTCTCACATACTAATATTCAGTGTAAGTAAAATGCACTCTTCTAGGTAAGTGGCATTAGCAATCATTGTGCGTTGCTATGGCGAATAGCTAGAGTTCATTGTAACTTTGAAAGAATACATCATAGAATAAAAAATATTTTGCTCAAAAGTCTGCTGGTCAATTAGAAAAGTTCTTCAATGTTCATATGAGAAAAAGAAGCAGGAAAAAATATGATATAAGTTTTTATTGATATCAGCACGGCTTCCACTGACACGAAATCAATCAACACTAAGCTTTGATATTCCGATCCAAGTATACATAAAATCTTGTGCATACATTCGATATATAATTCTAGGAAAAAATTGCCGTTCATTGTAGTTGAACATAAATATATAGTAAAAAGTTTAGCTTGAAAATTCATCCATATTCTCCACTGCAAAGGTGCTCACGTTCTCAATCTCCATTTATAAATTTTTTGAAATTTATTAGAATGTAAACGTTATCAAAAGTTTAAGTAGCAAAAGATTAGATTATTAGACATTTGTGCTCCAAACTATGTCAAGCAATGGGCTGCATAAATAGGTATCTGCATAAATTAATGCAGAGTTAATATAGCACGAGAAAAATGTTTCCCTAAAAAAATCTAAACAATATTTTTCTCCCTTTCTGTCTGTTGCTCTGCAAAAATTATACTTTGAACGAGCAAAAATTGCCTTATTTCGACAGTACTCGCATAATTTGCAGGTTTTGAAATGAAATTAATATAGTAAGGGTAGACGTAAAAAATGTTGACATTTCTCAATTCTATTGGTTAAATCTTTAAATAACATGATATGGATAACAGTGATATGATCTAGAATCTATTATATCTCACAACATCCAAGTTTACAGTGTGTTCCACTTTTTAATAAATTTATTCATTAAAAGGACCGGTCTAAAATAAAGATGTGCTGTGGAGTCGTTCTAAAAACAGATCCTCTAAAGTCATCTTCCAAGAATAACCTTTTTTAAACCTCCTTCTCTTTACCTTCCTTTGTAGAATTCCTCTCATTCTAAATGCTCTTTAAAATTCCAACAACCATAATTAATATTTTCTTTCTCGTAAAATTTAATACACTAAGAAATAAGCAATTTAAATTGTTGAAGTCGTCGTACGTTTCTGCGCTTTTTCCTCGATAACAGTTTGGTAGCCTCTGGTTCCATAAAAAGCTACATTCCCTTTCCTGTAAGAATTTTCATAGCACGATCTAGAACTCGTCTCGTAGCTTTTGATTCTGAGGATAAACGTAAAAAAAATCTTAAGACAATCTTTCTAAGTTTAAGTTTCTGTGCCAAAATGAAACGGAAAATGTCCACTAAACTGATAATTAAAAAATCTCAGAAGAATGATGAAATGCAAAATCGAAGATGACAAAAAGAGAGCATTGAAGTATAGTGCTGCTAATAATGGTATACTTTGATAAGAATGCACTCTGTATCAATATAATTCAGTACAGAATTGTGCCTCGCAGAAAATTCAAAGGGAATTTTCAATAAAAACACTGGAAAGACATTGCCGCCATAGGTTATCTATTTAAGGCGTACACCAAATTGTGCATGTTCATCTTTCTTGGTTGGGTAGTTTGATTGTCCGCTTAGAATTAAATGTACATTAAATAGCATTCAATTCAAAGACTGGAAAATAGAAAATGCTATCAGTCAACAAAATTTAAAATTTCAGTTCTCTAGTTTAAGGGATAAGTGGAGAAATCTAAAGTATCAACATTAACATACATCTAAACCAACTCAATTTACTACACACTCTTCCCCTATACACAAGATACTCACCTCTTTCCTCTTTATTCTTTCCTCTTCGGCCAACTTTTCTTTTTTGTGGTCTTCTAGCAACTTTAATGTCCGATCAACGAGGTTCTCGGATTCGTGGGTCGGTAGTTCCGTTCCTAAAATTGGCTGCAAAAACAAAATAGATGAGAATACTTCTTATAAAGTTTCCAACATTCAGCTAATCAGACAACATGCTTGGAAAATTCGGTAAAACTCTAAATGCACTTGTTCTGTGCTTTTAAATGACCACATATTTATAGTCACGTACGAGAGAAGGCCTGAAAACGGTCATTAGAATAAGATGCACAATAGGATTTCTCTACTTAAACATTGCATTCTTCGTACCTGGCTCATACCATCCTTGAATGCCCCAGGATAAAAGCGTAGAGATGGGTAAGCCCTGATGCCAGCCTCTCTGCAGAGGTTGTAGTTTTCTTCGCAGTTCACCTTTGCAGCCTTCACAGTGCCAGACAAACGCTAACGAAAAAACAATTAATGATTATTTCACGTCGTAATGAATTTGTTGTTACTAGGCTAATTTGGGTTTCAATAATTTTTCATCAGTAAATTACAAGCTCAGCCAAAAATACGTGATGTGATATCGAAAGCAAATGATTTCAAAAGGAAACTTCAACTAAAAAAGACCTCGCCATTTCGAAATTTTTCTCAAAGTAACAGGATTTTTTGGTAAAGAAACCATCTCACTTAATTTTATATACAATCTTAATAATTTCTCATTTTCAACAACGGTAAAGTGAAGATAATGCACCAAAATGAAACTTGAAGCAATTAAATTCATAACTCGAATTTAACCAAAGATTAAATCATGAACAGGGCCTAAACCTGAACAACAGCAACATAATTAACATGATTTGAGTTAAAGAAGGAAAGTATAACTTTTGCTTCGTAAATAACCTGCTTCGTTTGATCAAACATCGTTTCAAGCTTTCAGATTTTTGCTTTGGAAGCACTGAAAATCTTACGCTGCAGTGCCAATGCCATTACAGAACTACAGGCCAAGTTTGGTTACTGTTTCAAATGAAGTTAATTATCTTTAATTTTATCAAGCGACAGCCCTAATAGAAGCCTGGAGCTTCATTAAAAGTTCCTATTTCATTTATTGTAGCAAGAAAGTTCGGGCATTTCTGATCTCTGTTTCCTAAAGGCTCATTAAAAAACTTATATAATGTGCAAGGTAAACTATTTTCAGAGGGCTAATAAATAATTGTGCCACAAGCAAGTACTACTATACAACTATGCAAGTACTTCTTTGCGTAAATTGAATGGCTGGAATTTATCAAAAATATAATCTTGTCAAATTAAAAACCACCAATATCGAACAGCCACTTTTGCTAGTACCTTTGCAATCTTTTCAAAGACGGGGGCAAACTGGGTGCAATGTCCACACCAAGGCGCATAGAAATCAACAAGCCATGCATCCATCTGGTTGATTACAACATCGAAAAAGGAATAGTAGTCAAGCTGTTCCACCAACGACGGAAGATATTGGAAGGCCCAGTAGTACATATTTTCAACGTCACGCCAACCCTGATGTCGTCTATAACCCAGAAGATCAATAGTCACATATAATAACGCATTGTGATTGCGAAAATCACATGAAAATCTACGGTACCCCAGGAGAAAATATCACACTGCATATACCTTGACTTCTAACTTCTATTCTAAAGTTTCATTGTGTCAACTTTATGGAAATTACTACGAAAGCCTGGAAATGGCAACATAGAGAAAACTATAGACTATAAGTACTAGAATTTAAAGAGTTGCTACTAGAACTCATACAGTTATATTCGGTAATGAAGTCTTATAACCAGAAGTAATAACATTTTGGATTGTTAGTAGACTGCAATAATATTGGAAAATGTTAGGTATTCTCAGGCATTCACTCGACCTTAAGAGTACAAAGTATCAACTTCAAAACAAAATACTAATGTTAAAAGGGTAGTATACTTTTCTTCTATCAAATGAGTAGTGGCTAATAAGTAGCAGTTATGAGACCAAATGGCACAAAAATGACCCGAAACGCCTTAAAAATAATACATAATTGGTACCAAAAGTATCAAGTCATGATATTATAATAAATAGCAAGAATGTCGGCAACACAATAATGACAGGAAAACAAAATGTTTGAGAGGATGCTTGCACCACAGTTTATATTATTTTCCACTAGCTTAGGCCATTTTTCAAAAATGGTAACACATTTGGCACAGTTAGAAAATTTTGACGTAAAATATGGCACTGGTTTAACATAATAAAATACATGATAAGAATGGAAGTCGATGTTGCGTTTTTTAATACGGAAAAAATCAGTGTGTATAAAATTGTATCTAGTGGAATCTTAAAGAGACTTGAAAATTGTTTTGGAAAAATATACATTACACTATACATGACTCGATGTACATCAAACCTATCTTTATAACTCAACATAACAAGAAAGTGGGCAGTAGAATACAACGGTGAAGGAATGAAGAGCAGGGCAATAACTTTGAATGAAGTTCACACTTACATGTACATAGATGATCCAGCACTGCTAGGTGGGTACAGTCTTACAGTTGGATACGAATGCACGTCATTCATCTGACAAAGGTGCCGATGCATTGTGCAATCGATCATTCCGAGTTTGGCCTCACCCTCCAGGCGCTGGGAACACAGAAAAATGAGCTCTGTCAATTGGTTTTTTGAGAAAATGTAACATAAGAAGTATTTTCATTTTCATTTTCATTTCATAGAGATAATTTTTTAGGAACCTATGCATGCCAGTTTAATCATGGAGAAAAGGAATCTATAACATAATCTCAGGAATTTTTCTAGTAACAGATAGGCAACAAGTTACTTTTAAAATTCTCTTGAAATTTCAATCAAAATGTTTAATTAAAATTAAATCTTGATCTAGGATTAAAAACACAGAAGTTAAACTACATGTGATGCTTTAATAAAAGGAAAAAGATTCCTACAGGAAACGAAAATGATTATTTTTTATCATCGAAATTAATTGGTTATAAGAGGTTTATAGATAACAGTGTATGATCATGACCATTTATAGTTCAAATTTCTACGAATGAAAAAATACAATCGAAAAAAAATTAGAATAGATTTGAACTCGTTGGACTTTGGAATAACATAATAACAATTATGGCACATAATTTAACTTACAGTTGGGAAATCAATGAAACTAAAGGGTTATCATCAAACAAAAATTTATAGCATAAAATAATTAAACATGATTAAGCTAATCAGTTGATCAATAGCCATCAGCAGAGGCAGAGAGACAAAGAAAAACTTTGAGATGGTAGAGCAAAATTTTGAAAACAGGCCAGCACAAAACTAACAAATCATCTCACCAAGTTGTTGACACATGTAGAAGGGATTTTTAAACTTACTTTTGCAAGTTTGCGATACACTGGAGTAAGTTGTTGACATGGGCCACACCAGGGAGCATAAAAATCCACTATCCACATTTCACCTTGTGGTTTGTGCACAAGAAACTTTTCAAATGTTTCCGGTGTTAGCTGCACCACAACTGGGTGTATTATGTCCTGTCAAGAGCAAAACCGTGGTCTAATATAGTTATTTTCTGATACTAAACAGCTGTAATAGCGATCAGCAAAATCAAAATACACATTAAGCCAGTTGTTTATTCTATTGTGCCACCTTGGCAGGAAAAGATGGGATGTTGCGACCTTTTTACAAAATATTATTAACAGTCAAAAAAATGTTGGAAAATTAAGTTTCTCAACAGAAAGAAAACTTTTGTTAAAAGAGAGACAATACTGTTGTCCACCTGTGTCACCACTTCATAATAAGCTGCTATGAATTGAAGATCTTAGAAAACAGTTACACTCAATGTTGTACTAGCAACAATTCCTCAACTGGCATCGTAACTGCAAAGACGCTAAGTAACAGAATTTGAATTGATATTTTAAATGAATAAAATTATAAAAAGAAACTAAAAAAATTCTAGTTTAATAACATCTTCATGATTTAATTGTTATAAGATAGATACTTACTGAGTGATATAACGATACTTGGTGATACTGACTTAGTGATAGTTACTCGTGAAAATAAGATAAAATTCACTTCGCAAGATGGCAGGAAAAACAAAAAAACCTAAACAACAATGCCTACTTTTCACTTTCTTCACGTAACCATTCAGTTATTTGTAATAAAACGAAAAGCATATTTTGTGCTAATTACAATATGTGTACATGGATTGCTCAAGTTAATTAAATGTTGTTGAATTCAAGGTAATCGACTTGCATTTGTTATGACAAAGGATTGCCAAATCATTGCAGAGAAATTTGCAAGGTAAAAAAAGTCTATTTTTTAATGGGTTGAGGCATACTTATTTAGGAAAAAAAATTCGTGGTAAAGAAACGCCGGGGGAAATTTAGTCATTTCTCCCGGATTGGCATAAGCACTTTTTTCTCTGACTTAAATTTAAACCAAGCAAACAATTTTCTTTTAAGCCTAACCATCAACTATGAAAAATATACTAGTTTAGTCCCAAGTACAGAAAAGGGTATAAAAAATTGGGGAAAGAACTAGTCAGGAAAAGTCTGGGAAAAATTGTAGCCACTTTTTCCCAAATTTTCTCTTTTTTCCTGTAAGGAAGTTGCTTTTCAAATTTTTGCAAAACTCATCAACAGAAAACGTCTGGATCAATAATAATCTCAAATACACGTTTTATGGGATATTTTCTCAAAACATTAATCAAAGCAGTTTTCTGCAGATATATTTTTGACCATGATTGAACGTAGGATAATTTCTCATGCAATTTATCTTGCTGGTGAATCAACAATTATAGTTCAATCTCTCAGAAATCTTACCTCGACAAACTCAATAATATCATTTGCAGCATGAAAACCAGAAAGAGAGTGCGGGTGACTGTCATTATAAAGAACTGAAGTTGGATACGATCGGATATTCAGCTAAAACATAAAAATATTAAATTAGCGAGTAATTGATATAAAATATTACATTCATTCGTGACTTTTTAACGAGTGAATTAAATTTGTGTAATAAATGACATTAGACAAAGTGTATAAAAGTATCGGGCTGTACTGAACTAAGGTTTTTCTTTCAGTTGCCACTAAAAGGCTCCAGACATCTCTATTTATTACCAGTTCTTCCATTTTTATTTCTCCTACATTTAGCCACTTTTTATCTATGTAGATTGTAAAACAGGGTAATAAACTTGCATCTCTATTTTTTTCTCCAAAAAATGTCTGGATTGAAGGTATAAAATAAAGGCCAAATTCATGCAACGACTTTTCTGAATATTTCAGTATAAAAGAAAGTGAAAGTCACTTTTAAAAAATTTGCAGGTTTTAGTATAATTTGCAAAACTCGTTTTTATAATTGATTGAATCACGAAAATAAATAAATGCTAAAGATATCACACTTTTTCAGTGAAACTGAAGACACTTTGTAGAAAAACAAACGACTGAAGGTTGATACGGTTGTTTCACTTCTCTTATATTTTGTTTCTCCATCTTAATAAATATCACTTGTTCAAATTGTAGTGAATCAGCAAGAAGCGAAGAACGAGACACGTAAATTTATGGTTTAACATATTCCGTATTCTGAGTTAATCATTTCTCAAAACGTAACTTCGAGAGCTGCTCTCATTTTGATATTCAACATTTAAAACTGAAGGAAAGTTCGTCAAGTTGCCAGCTTAGGATATCTGGAAAACTTCCTTCACCCAGACTGTTATTTGCTGTTGCCGACTACCCTCTTCTAGTGACACATAATATATGAAATAGAACTACGAAAAGCTTAACACAGTATGTAATATTGTGTCCTAAATGACTATAAATACGATGACTTACGTTCTGACACAACGTTCTGTGAGCAGTACAGTCTACTGTTCCAAATTTTGCCGTTCTGTCTCCGATCTGGCGACCAGCTTTCCTCCATTCTGGAAGCAATTTCATACACGGCGGACACCATGGAGCAAAGAAGTCGATGAAATATCTTCCTTTGTCATCCATTGCACTTGGAAAGTCATCAGGGGTGAGTGCTCTAACATTTGATGTAGAGCTGTCTTTTGCAAATACTGCAATATCATGAGCGGTAAAGCGACCTTGGAGAAAGTTTGTAAGAATAAAACAATCATTCTATTGATTGGAAGAGAAAGACTAGCTTCTGATTGCTATATCATACATATTCTTTGATAAAAGATAAACTGAATAGCAGAAGGACTATGATATGTAATTGTGAAAACATTAACTCCCTGAAACATTGATAGAAAGAGCAAAACACTGTTTACAAAAAATAGGAAATTTACCCAACATTATCCATTAAAAATGGTGGCCAAAATATAAGAAATGGTGGCAAAACTAAGAGAGTATTTCTCAAAACTAAAACAGAAACGGATATTCCTCAAAACTGATGGATCTTCAAAGTAAGAAGGGTTGGACTTTATCAGCAAAGTTTGATAAAAGCATGTAGAAATCTTACCATAATGCCATTCATAGCCTCCTTTCTTCAACAACAAAACAGATGGGTGCTTAGTAACGTAAAACTTCTGGCATAATTTATTGCTCTTCCTACAGTCTATAGTCCCAAGCTGAAGAAGTAAAATCAATTGTTAGCGAGAGGCCGTCAACATAGCAACAGATGGAAGAGAATCAAATCAAGGCATTTGAAAAGAAATATCGCTAGCAGGAACATTGAAAGATCGATAAACTTTAATGATAACTGAACAAACAAAAAGGAAAACAGAAATATCACACCAAACCTGTTTGAAAAGGCAGTATTGTTGATAATTACCTCCACATGTGGAATAAGGGCAGAAATTTTCTTTAATTCGAGAAAAGAATCATCTTTGCCTGTTCCACTTGAAAATATAAGGAGCCATGGCTCAATTGATCCTTTGTCAATCTCATCTGAAATGCTCTGAGAAAAAACGGACAAATGAAGTGAAATCCAACATTGATATTGGAATAATTAGGTCGTTTTGGGTTACGCAGCAAAAGCAAATAAGGGATAAAGAACCTGCCGGGCGTAATTGATAAGTGTGTATTTACTGACGTAGGTAGATTAATTAGTTTAAAGTTATAGTGACAAAGATGAAAGGATTTATGGGCAAGGGATGTGCATGGGAATAGCATGTGAGAAAAACATAAGAAGTCTTTCATTCTGCGTTCTGTATAACTTGCTTTTCTTAACACTCAGTTGGTGCAAATTTTAAGTCTAGAGTAAAACTGAGGAGAATGCTATTAGTCACATAGTTCCCAATAACATTACAGTGAAGGGTTTACAAAACATCATTTTAAGCTGCTCTCGGGTAATTTCTTTGAAAAGGTATTCAAGAGATCCTAATCAGCATCGGGTCACCAACAAGGGGGGAATAATAAACACGATATAACATAGAAAATATGGTACACTTCTAGGGCCATTTGGTGAAAATATCAAGTCTTACTCTAATTCCAAAATGTTGTTCAGCTACACATGGAAACTGAAACTCATACTAAAAGACAGTGTTTACTTAGCAACGAAGAGCGACGGTAAAATTAAAATGATGCGTTGCAAAATTTGAGTACTATCATTTCAAAATCTAAATTAAGCTATAAATTGTTTTATGTCAATACCAATCTTACAAATTCGATCTTTAACATTTTGTGCTAATCAAAATTGACGCACCAAAAAGCTACAAACCATATATTGAAAAATTGATAACTTCAGAGTAACATAAGGTAAGACAAGTGAAATTTAAGATGTTTATAGGCCATAAAAGATCACCTTAAAACTCTCGTCATTTACTTCTGTTGGCTCTGGGAGTAAAGTAAGAACTTCTTTCAAAATCTCTCCAGCAACCAGACTATGAATAACCTACAAAAAGAGTCAGAATTTTAAACCTTGAACTACAAAAAGCAATAGTGTATCAAAACGCACTTAGGTTTTATTGAAATTGATAAAAAAAAGTTTGAATAAGTCAATAACTTTAGCTATAATAACTCAATTTTCACAGAATTTTTTTCTTCGATTTGACAGATAAGCATCAAATATTTGACAAAATCCCGACTACGTGAAGAAGGTTGAAAAAACTTACCGATCCACTCTGTTTATCGACTTTACCAACTGGGTAATAAACCACGCCTGAGATGTGACCAAGCTTTTTGCAAAGATCAGGTTCACTTGAGCAATCAGCGTCAAGAACTTGCACAAGATTGTCCTGTGCGAAAACTCCAGTTAGGAAAAATGCAAAGAATTGAAAAAGCAAAAAGCTATCAGCTAAGTTATCAGCTATGTTACTGTTGTATTTCATTTTCTATTTAATGAAGTTTATGAATTCCGGTCAACATTGACTGATTTTTTGCATCAAAATCTAAGACATCAAATTTAGTATTTTCGGAAAAAAAAGAATACATTAATCTAAATGGCAAAGTTTTCAAGTTCAGGAAAAGCGGTTTATACTTGGATGATGGATCATCGATTATTATTCGTCGAAAATCAACAGTATTATCGCACTGGCGTGAAACGCAGAGTCTATAAGACATCAAGAAATCTTTATTAGAGGGGCTTCAGCAGCCAGATTTTCAAACACCATTGAGTTTGCTGTAGAGCCATGAAGAACGGCCTAATGAAGGGGGCGTCAATCCTTTACATCAAAATTTCGTAAATATTACAGTTCAGGACTTACAAGCATTCCAGCAAGCTTTGTTTTCGTTTTTGCAGACAGGCAGTCTACAAAAGATAATAAGGAACTAAGAAATAACATCTGTATAGTCTCCGTAACTTCTTGATTTTGCAAATAATCAAAGCTTGACTTGCTGAAACTAAATTAGGCATCAAACACAATTAACCGAAAACATGGCGATGAGCAAAAGGCACAGTTATTGCACAGTAATATCACGATTTCTCTAGAGTTCTTTCAGCAGATGTTGCACACCTCTGCAAGTTATTCCGGGTTTGTTTTGGCTTTGCCCACAACCCACGTGACAACCAACGTGTATAATTCAAAAGAGTCAATTTGTCATCAGATGATTATCAAATGGATACGATACTAAAAGGATGAAAATGTAAAATACATTTGCTGCTGCGATTAATGATTCATTTTAACTCCGCCTGTAACACTGAATTTGAAACCAACTTATTCGCAGAAGAATCCAGCACCCACTTAATGCACATTAACTCTGTATAAGGAAACCACTAACTTAAGCGAGAATCGGACAAACGAAGCAGCCCACGTTGTTTGCGAACCCTAAGGAATTAACGCATCGTATATTTTCTTGGCTAAGACTTTAACACTAATGAATTTCCCTGAAATAGAATCTAAGTGTTGTCTTGTTATGTTATTGATCTCATCTTTCCTTATCTAGCTACTTTATCACAGGGATGTCTTTCTTGTAGGGGGTATGTTCAAATTATTTATATCAAACTCTACATAGATTACAACCATAGTGTTAATTCCGTATTCAAACGTCAAAATCCTTTCCAATACACAAAAGCTGATGCTGGAAACAGCGTTTTCATCACTTATATTGAAAAGAAAAGCAAAGAGCCAAGAAACGTTTTCTGTCTATAAAATTTACTGCACAACTCCCTTTAAACTTGCTTAATTGCGAATCATAAAATACAAAATACCTATGACTTCAAGGATATAATCGATATGTTGGATACGTTAACGAAAACAAACTTAATATGTACTATCTATACTGATTTAGTTTGACTAAAATTATCAAAATTTATCAAGTCATAGACATTCTTAGAAGACATGCAAAATTGTTCGCGATTGTTCTTTACCTTCATCCGGTGAGCAAAATGAGACTAGCCAAGGCAATGAATGATCATTTAACTCTTTAAAATTATCTGCAAAAGAAAAAAGTCGTAGGAGCCACAGATTGATGATAATTTTAAAAAACAAGAAAATACAAATTCAAATTTATATCTAAATCGTTAAATGGGACCTTTAAAACTAATTCCGTTTCTATTGATAATGCTTTCACAATGGTATACTTTTTCCCTTTCTATGCCTTTCATAAATCTATATGTTCTTTTCGAATAAGATAAAATAAAAAGACAAAGAAATGCAATCAGTGAAAATAAGAGCCGCAAAAGACCAGAAAATCGAAACAAACCAGACGTAAGCTTTATCACGACAATTTCAACTGAATCCAAGGCAAACTTTACGATTTCATCAGTTGTCTTGTGTCCATAAAAGAACTCGCCCTGTGGTGAAAGATTTCAATAATAAACATGAGAAAAATTATGATAGCTAGACTGAAGTTAAACTATATGGGAACAAATAAGTTTTAAAACTAAGCTTAATCGAAGGTGTAAACTATTTCTCTCTCTCTCTCTCTAACAACTTTTTATAAAGATGCGAAAATTCTCAAAATTGCAGGTTTCTGTCCCAAAAATGAAGAGAAATTCCAAAACTCACGCTGCACTGTGAATTCATTTTAACAATCGTTTTCCAAAATGCGCATAATAAAACAAGGCATTGGTTCTGCAAATTACCAAAAGAACCACTTGTTAATGTCTAACCAAATACAACAAAACAGACAAGACTAGAAGTTCCAAAGCTGAGGCAGGCTATTTCTAATTTAAAGTTACCTAGAGGCCCAGTTACACGGTCAGATATTATTACGATATCTGGCAAGATAAAATCAAAAGGTCAGATAAAATCTTCATGCATATTTTAACTTGTAACATAAACTTTCTGGAGGTATATCAAAGGATCTCTGAAGAAATAAAATATCAAAATAAAATCAGTTCAGGTATACTCGGAATACCGAAAGATACGTGATAAGGTACCAACAGTGCTCAATCTTTTGCTGTTGCGCGGTATAGCAAGTTTGTATGAGCCTCTAACCAAAAAGGCTTCTTGAATGTCACGCTTAAACAAGTATTTCAATGTGGCAAAGCTTGCCTAATATCATTAAGACTGAGTGAGATTTTTTATGTTGAAGTTAAAAATCAGTGATACATGCGGCAAAAGAGTAGCAAATATCAAATTGGAGACAAATCAAATTGCACTTGTTTCTGAAGCGTTTTATGAATATCAATATCTGGTGGGTAACTGATGAAAAATCTGACCATGCAACGAGGCCTTTAGACATAACGTAATCAATTTAAGTTGGCAGGTTAGCAATGAAGAAGACAGAACGCTGAATACCGTCGGGTACAATTTGAGGGAAGGGTAAGACTGAATTCCTTGACTTGTACACAAGCCCCACTCGTCCTGACAATTGACTGCTCCAATACGAATGATACCATCAAGTTCTTTTGCAACTTCTCTCCACTAAAACAGAACAAAAGAAGTTTCGAAAATTGAAATATAATCAGAATAGGAAGAAAGCAAACGAAGAGAAAATTTCGGTTTTAGGAGAATTGAAACCAAGCTTTCCTATTTGTCCCAAAAGAATTGTCTTTTTAAAGATATCTAAAGTCCATAACTCGGTTGAGTCCACAAAGTCCAACATTTATCGCTTAACTGCCACAGGCAAGTTGACTCAACCCCTTGCTCCCTGAGTAACTGGACAGTTTCTTACATCAGTTGCTGAAGCAAAACCAGCTAATTATAATAGTTGAAAAAGGAGGTAAATTGCGGTTTTTTCAGATTACTGCTAAATGTTTTAGCTTTGAAGACTGGATTACGAAATCTGGGAAAAGTAAAGACAGTAAGACGTCGAGCCCTGGTTGATATTCTACACGTAGCTGGAAGAATGGTTTAATCTTACAATAAGATTAAAATATTTATCGTCAAGAACAAATAGAATTATATGGCTCCTCGTTTTAAAGCAACAGTAAACAAATTCCGAAAACTTGTACACTTGTGAGATCTTTTTGGCGCTGCAAAGAATAATTTATTCTGGTCATGTTCTATTTGCGTTTCAGATGGAGAAGAGAAATATTTGAAAAATGCTGAAACTACATATGCAAAAATCTCTGTGAGCCTTCAGTTGGCAAATAAGTTATTGAGTCGAAAAGGATAAGCATTTGAAAAGGAATCTAAAATTGAACCTGAAAACAGAAAACAAGTTTTTTGGAGACATTTTCGCAGAAGCCTAAAGCGTTGCTCTGTAAGCTAAGATAGGTTTATTCCTCAAAGGCAGTCGACAGATACTCAAGTGGCCTCAGCTACCTGTCAATCAACAATTGACCAATCAACGAGCCTGAAACCACTCAAGTGCTTATCGCTTAGCTAATACTTAATGAAAGACGGCTTAAGCCACTTTAGTACCAGTAGAATGCCTCTAATGCTCACTGTGAAAATTCAATATGAGACTGCAACTTGGAAGCAAAACCTTTACTTGAATTTAATATTCTAAATCTTGAGATAAATGCAAAAAGATTCAAAATCAGAGGACGTCTGAAGTCGCAAAAAATATTTGCAGTTTGCACATCAACAAGACAATACTATTTGCAAAATATTTGTTAAGATTTTGAACTCATTAGTTGTATTTACAAAACTTAAATGTCAGGTAATTAATTCTGCTTATTCACAGTAAATTCGTCATCTAAATAAAATGTTTTGCATTAACAGCTAGTCGACACAAGGGATTTGCAGTTTGCACATCAACAAGGATCTACAGTTATACATGATCTGGTACACGATACTATCATCATTTCCAAATAGGGGTTATGTGAAAGGAACAGCCCCTTGCAGCATCAAGTCTCAGATACGGTCATTTTGGAGCTGGAATTTCTTGCAGCACTTTATGTAGTCAGTGCTGCAAGATGGCAGAGTCTGGTCATTAGATGGCAGCATGTAAGTATTAAGAAGTTGACTCTTGAATTTAGATTTTGTTAAATTTCCTTGGAATAACTGACCCGAGTAGGGGCACTATACGTTTGTGAGACCAGTTATTACATTAATCCATGGCTACTTAATACAATGACTTGTGTTTTTACTCCTTTAAATTTTGAAACGTAAATCCAGTAGCACATCACGAGCTCCAAGATTAGAAGTTGCCTAATGATGTTAGACAGAGACCGGGAAAAAAGGCTTGAGAATGAGCTCTCTAAAATGCTTGACGAGGTCCTTTCCATCAGAAGATTCTGCATTTTAAAATATTGTTAAGGTTTTTTTCTAAAGACTATGGGTAAAAGCAGTTTATATAACCCAACATAAGTTTAATCTTTCATGTATCAAAACTCTCCTATAAAAAGTTATACCAATATCTGAGTGAATATAGATCAATAAATAAACATTAGACACAACATTTTCTTGTAAGTGTGAGAATTAAGGAGAGGCCACGATAGCAGGCTGCTCGACGGTCTCCGGAGGAAATCTTGCGGCGAATAATCGATAAAATCTGACGAAGCCCCGTATGCCGGGGCGAAATGTTAGCCATCACTTATTTGTGTGTTTGTTGTTGTTTTTTCTCGTCGCGTTGCGGTGTTCCTTATACACTACTATTTTCTTGTAACATGCCTTTGGGAATTCTTATGACTGCTATCTTAACATAAGAGATATAAAATACAAAATTTTCTTCATAGACATCAAGAAAGCATTTCCAATGTACATTATATTCTTGATGTTATGTTTTTTAAATATATTCTTATTCAGACCATGGTATAATTGATCATAAAAGAGTTAACGAGTACGTTTTTAACCTTTATTGTATATACTTATCCATTTTTGGAAAACCATACCTACTGGCTGTAGGTATACCTATTACCTCCTTCTCTTACTTGGTCTATGGACATGGCATATTGCCACCCCTCCCCAAATTCTTATCTGCTTTCTTTTCTGATAGCTTATCTTATCCACTTGTTGAGCTGCTGCATATAAATTCTTCTATAAAGCAAACAAATTCACTTGATATCTTCTGCACTTTGTTCTGAAGAGTTAATGAGACAATACTGGATTGATTTACTTACAGTTGGAGCAAGAGTGTGGCAATGGGAGCAATATGGGGAGTAGAAATTTATAAACCAAACATCTTCAGATCCCATCACTGAGAGCTCTGAAAAGCAAACAAAGAAAATTTAAAAACCTTACATTTTTATGTACTACACACTTCATATCAGGAACGGTGAAATGTATTTGAAAGTAGTGGAGCCAAACCATTAAGATTATGGACAGGTTTAGTAAAGGACGTCAATATGAATGGTTGCAAGAAAAACTTTAGAAACCTGGCATTTTAAGGGTGGTCAAAAAAACATCTAGAATAGATTTTGATAAAAGAAAATCTGAGGCAATGCTTTCATGTCCCATAGTTTAATATATTTTAATGTTGACACGAAATAGGAGAGGTCTGCAAAGTTTAAGAATAACTTTAAAGAACAACCATAATCAATTTTTTCCATTAAAGGTAGGTATCCTGTCGCTGTGTATGAAGAATACTGGTACTGTTTAGATGCTGTTGTAAACAGTTATGAATATGTTGAAATAGGTAAATTATTTTTGTACACAAATATTTGTTCATTTGTTGCCACAAAAAATAAGAGATGCATTGAATTTCTTCACTGACAAGTCCGTCTAGAGCTATCAAAATAACAAGGGGGCTCTTGCACATATTGTTGCTAATAACAGCAGGAAAAGTAGAAATTGGCTAACTTTAGGCATTAACAAAGGGGCTCAGCCCCCAAGCCCCCTAGTTTACACCCCTGCTCTAGAGTCAATAGAAAGAAGACTTCACATCAAGCTAAGCAGCTTTTGCCAGTTATAGATGATCGTCTGCTTTGTATATGTCTCAGGGCACTCGGACAAAACCCCCCAACCAGGGAAGTTGAAGTCTTGCAAAGTGTACCTCTCTTGACTCCGGCACCGCTGACCACTACATTTTATATGTGCTATAGTCAGCGTTCTTTTCATAAATTAATTCTTTGCTGGTTTTTTGTCAGTTGGTTAAGCTATTAACCTGAGTTCCAGATTAGATACGTTGGCTGTGAAACTCTGTGAAGTCAAAATAAAAAAGGTTGGATTATCTGGCTTTATTTTAGTGCTATTTAGACTTTTACGATATTGCCTGGACGCTTTCGGGATTGTGCTTGGACGTTCATTAAGTAGTGTGCTTGTGAAGGCAACTTCAAGGTAGGAGCACAGGGCCCTGATATTGGAAGAAAAACAATGGCATTATTGACAATAGCAATACATTTTTACCAATCAAAATTCTTATTGCCGTTATATCCGTATCTTAAATTACACGATGCCACAAAGGGTTGATTGTTTTTTTGCTAAAAGCTGTGCCAACTTCCCTTTTGGCAATGAGATAATAGTTTTTTGGATCATTGGCTTGCTGATGATGTTGAGTCATCATCATTTTGTGGCTGCAAGCAATAGAAAACTATTTACAGGAAAAGCAGCATGCCTTGCATATCAAAAAAGATACGGAAAAGCGTCTTTATATATATACATATATAGATATTCAGAAAAAACACTATCTCTTAAATACTTTACAAATCTGACAAAAACTCTTTCAAAACACAGAAGAGTTACTACCACATAAATTTTGGCTCTTTCAATAACACTGTCAGCTGTGGTTTGGCAAGAAGTAAAGAATGAAAAATCTTTGATATTGATTCTGGCTTCCAAAAGTAGAGAAGATAATCTATCCAGAATTCGGTTCAAATTATCAAAAGTCCCAGAAATTTCATCACTCTATTCCCTTCATACTCAACAGCATCTGCCTATAGATCATAAATATATGGAGATTGCAATTTTTTTAAAAAACACAGTGGCCACAAAGAATGCAATATTTTAAGGACATATTTGACTTTTGCTTTCATTTCTATTGCTCCTGAACCAGCTGTTAAGGTATTACTGGAAGCAGTTTTAGTTTTTAGTCTAGTGGACATACCCGCTTTTGTAAGTTTCAATGGTTCTCAAATCTACCAACAAATCTTTCACTCCATTACCCACTTCCAAATAGACTGAGGTTCGTAATTCCCATACAAACATTACACTACTTGCTGGAAATGATCAATCAACTATACTGCTGCAATTTCTGCCAAATCCTACCAAACAATGAACAACTCTTTCTGCCAAAACCAACAAAATTGCATGGCAAGCAAACAAACTCATAGCAAATACTCTCAAGATAGTAGAAATCCTATTTACAAAACCAAATAAATATTTGATTGTATTTGTTTATATTTGCATCTACCTAGCATTCTACAGTAGCTTTTAGGACACTGTGAGACTACCATTATCAACCATTGTCCTGGTCCTTCCTCTCTATGTTACTATACCCTTTGATGGGGACCCTCTTCACTCTATGTTAAAGATTGGTCTAGAAACTAGGGACTAGAAACCCCAGACCATTTGATCTGACAGATCCAGACTACAGTCCACAACCTTAACCAATGAGCCATCCTTGCATCAATTAATATTAGAAGGCATTTAAAGATTCTGAGAAGAAATTAATGGAACTGGAAGATAGCAATTCAGTTTAGGAGAGCAATTCCCAGCTTGTCTCAGATTTTTACAGCAGTGCAGGTGATACATTAAAATTACCCAAAGGCTTTATTATTACTGCAATCCTGTACAAATTTCAATGATAGCAAGTAATAATTACTGAGAAAATAATTCAGAAACTGTGACTCAAATATAACACTAGAGTACAGAAAAGTCAAGAAAAGCCTGTCAAAAGATTACTCACCAAAATCAGAGTGACTAAGAGTAAGAATTTCTGGGTCATCGTCATAAATGCCAAATTCTTTATTGTAATAGTCCCAGCTTTGATAATTATTACTGAAATGGTCATCTTTCAAACCATCTTCACCGTAAAGGTCATATTTCTTTCTTAACTCTTCATCTAACAAATTGAAAAAAAAACCCAGCATTCATTTATGGGACAAAATGATCTATTTGTGAAGAGCCTGAGAAAATGTTCATGAATATCTGACACAGGATAAAGTTTTTTATTGATAATAGTAATTGATTATCATGCCACAAAACCTTTTGGATGACAAGAAAACAACAAACAGATGAACATTGAATATCCTCTTTGTCTTTGTCTATCAAAGACCAATACTTTTAAAAATATGAAAAGACATCTATTGTTTAAGAAAAAAGGAACAACAGAAAAAATTATAGGTAAAATTTGTTCTGAAAATTACAACTTGCAATATCTATGCCTTGCTATACATTGTTCTTACAAAGTATATCCTTATAAGTAAGTTTGAAATATGTTTATGAAAAAACATTTTAAATGTCATTGAACACACAAAGATTTCTGAAATTCAAGTCATAAGCGCAATCCAATAAACAAACCTTTAAGGACTTCGTATGCCCTGTTAATCCTTGTAAACCTATCATGGGCTGATGGATCATCCTAAAACATTCAGTAAGATGAAACATTATTTTCAAGCTTTTATAATAGGTACAAATGATGTTAGAAATTCACGTTAAATTTAAAATCAAGATGGAATATCTTCATTTGATCAATGATTAAAGTACAAGATTCTTTAAAATAGATCCTGAAACTAGTTCACTGTTAATGAACCATATTCATTTTTCATCAAGATTCACAAAAGAGATTTTTTAGATTTCAGTGGTTTTTCGGCTTCGCTCTGGCCGCTATACAAATATAATTTCAAATAATAGGTTTCATAGGATTTCATATAATGGGCCAATCCATGTTAAAAGCATTAAAGTAGTAATACAAGGAAACCAATTGCTACGATTTGTGCATTTAAAAGAATTCTGAAGGGTTCACTACAACTGATATTTTACAATAAGAGCTCTCAAAAATTTATTAGCTTGTTCTACAAACAGCAAATCGAGAAAACGATGAAAACCTCAAGCTGTGCTAACAAAGACCTGCGGCAACTTCTGGCAAAGAGAAAAACTAAATTGACCTTTTAATCGTTTAAATATGGTATGCGCGTTTCCATGAGGGCAATTTTCGTGGAAATTGGTTTCACATAGTTATTTCCAGCAAAGTTCATGGTGAAGTAAATCACCGGTAAAAAAATCATTTGTTGTATTTAATCATTTGTTGTATTTAATACCGGCATTTTCCTTAAGTAAGTAAGTTAGTTTCTCCCTTTGACTGAGAATGCTGGCCATGTTAAATTCTTTCATGCCATTTTTCAATCTACTTACTTTGTTTTTATCAGGATGGTGTTTCAAAGCCAACTTTTTAAACTTTCTTCTAATTTCAGCAACGGTAGCATCTCTAGACACGTCAAGAAGTGCATAATAATCCTCAGCAAAAACTTCTACTAATACAGCAATTGATAGAAAAATGCCTATTAAATAAATCCGCATGTCGAATGTAACCCTCGCAGCCTAAAAGGTTTATAAGTAACAGTAAAAGACTACGGGTGCCTGTATTAGTACATATTGCAGTGACTTTCCGCCATCTTTTGTTTTTGTAGTTTCCACCAAAATGGTTGTTGTTGGTGTAGTGTGAACACGTGTACTTTGGCCTCGCTTTGAAATGGAGGATTTGTCTGACGCCGCAAATCTCGTGTTAAAACTTTCATTTAGGTATTTCACTCATTTATTCCTCGTATTAGAAACAGTTGTTTATCAGTATTTCTTTGTAATGTTGCCCCACTCAAGTAATCGCATCTTTGTATACAGATTTGAAAACTGCCAATGACGTAACCTTATGTATTTGTATTACCCTTATTTGCATTGATGTATTAGCTTACTTCCCGTTATCTTATTAGCAGTAGATAATATTGCATTACGATAAGAAGCCACTATGGCAACAACAGGGTGTAGATTAACGTAAATATGTATGTAAGTTGGCAAGTTAGATTTAGAGAGATACATAGAGATTCGAGCAGATACAGACATAGAGAGATTAGGCTATGACAATTTAAGGATGCTAACTGCTCAGCTCAAGAGGCTAGAGAAAGCTCTTGTAGCTCGTTGATATTATATTGGTAATTAGGTTTATTCAGGACAGGCAGTGCTTGCAAAAGACTGCGCTGGGCCTCGTTGTTGTACGTTTAAGACAGACAGTGCTTGCAAAAGACTGCGCTGGGCCTCGTTGTTGTACGTTTAGGACAGACAGTACTTGAAGAAGACTGTGCTGTGCCTCGACACATTTTGGTTTGCGGAGAGCCGAGGATGTGTCTTACAGATTTAGCTGAAAATTGAAGTTTAGCCTGGAAAGACTGCATGGTTGATAACTTGAAGAATACATATAGCCGCTCATCAAATGTCGTCTCTTTTAATTCTCTTCGCGGACTTGGGCACTAAATTAGCCCCCCAAATTTTCATTTTACACCACCTCAGTTATTAGGACATTAAGAGAAGAACATTAATGCGTGGTAATTCATTAAAACACCAAGATGCCACGGTTATTCATAAACAGCAGTCACTTTCAAAACTTTTCTTAAATAGAAACGAAAGATGAATTGGTGCAAGGACATTATTGCTGGAGGTATACATCATGACTTGTTTAATTCGGCGCAAAAAGCTTGCAATTGTGTTTCTTTTGAATTTTAAAAAAATCTTGAAAACAGGAGCGGAAGCAGTTTTCTTAGATTCTTCTGAACTGCGATTGCTTTTAGCAGTGCTTCTGAATTTCAGAATAGAGCAATTAGAGCACCTCAAACATGACATTATATAAAACAAACCTGTGTTTTAAGTGATTTAATGAGAGCCGTAGTTTCAAGTAATTAAAAACGGAAAAATAATTCTGGGTTAATATGATCCATCTATGATATAAAATAATTTTGATTAAATACTATGCAGCGCAATGAGATATAAAATATGATAATTTATGAAACATACCAGTTTTGAAATGATCTAGTCAGAGCCGTAGTTTCTAGTAAAGGAAAGCCGAGAAAAGAATAGAAACTTTTGCATTTTAGCGCATTTCTACATAATATACACTCATTTTTTTAAAGGAAACAGAGGTCGATGTTGAGTACTCCAGTTTCTTAATGTTCTGGAAATTTCAATACTCATTGTTTCTTAAGAGTTTTTTACTTCTGATGTCTTGAATGATGTTATGAAATGTTCCTGACCTTTCTTATCACGTCAAAAGATTCGCTTCCGTTCTGATGCTGCATTTAGAAGTGGGAAGCATACAATTTTTATCCCTTGTCTCCTAATTTCTAGGCCAACAGAGCAATGATGTTCTTGGATTTTACAAAATTTCGTTGTTCCAGTTTTATCACGATTTAATAGTTTCTTAATTTTTTTTGCTTCGAGTACTGAAATTTCTTAATTTTTTTTTACTGTCCAGTATTCTATTCTTATGGCCAGTTTCTTGTAAAGAATGAGTGTATTTTAAGCATAACTAGAGCAACCTCGGATAATTTTTTGTTAACAGAAATGAGATATGTGAAATAGTCTAGTAACTTGAGGTTTGAGCTATAAAAAGTAACACAAATAAGAGATTTGATGGTCACACGAGAAAGATCAAAAGCACCTTGCCCAAACCCTGACTTGTTTTCTTCGTTTTCTGATAAAGGTTTCTAGATAAAATTGTCTGGAAGAAGCATGAATACTTTCTTTGGCTCTGATATGAAGTTTATATTTAGACGAGCCTCTTGATTTGGCGGTTTTTTCCCTGAAATAGGACTGTGCATTCTGAACTGATCTATGACTCAAAAGATGACGTCATTGCATTTTACTGTTTATTATGTAATAAATATATACCTAGCTTGGCATCAGCTATTAAAAAGATTCAGTGGCGTTCTGAACTACCAACAAATTTTACAAGGAAGAAAGTTGCTATCAAGGCACTACATAAACCATGTATATGTGTATTAAGCCTGCGTGGGAACTGCTGGCTTGCCGTTATGTTAAGGGTGTGCAAATCGAAAGTGACGTCGTTTGTCAGCTATGTAGTTCTTAGAGAGAGAGTGGTTCATATGACCTGCGAGAATGGTAGCTAAATCAGGTACACCTTATACAGATCCTCTTGATTACGTTGTGGATGATGTGGAGAAAGCATAAAGGCCGAGAGTGTCAAGCAGCCAACGCTTTGCGTACACAAAACCTCATTCAGCCGACGTAATTATATTTGCAAACTGCAGAGAGATTTAAATTATATTCTCCAAGATTCCGCTGAGTACATAGAGATCAGTCTCAATTCACATCCAGCACACAAATACAATCATAGAATGTCTTTATTTGCGTTATTGATTTGGCACTCAATCCTCGTAGATTTTAGGATCCAATATATTAAGATCATAAGCGTTTCAAATCTTTTGTCTCGTGTTTTGCCGGTAACAGAAGTTAAAACTCATCAAATCTCGATCAGCGCCGCGCAGACTGTTCTCTGTTTGCAATGCTTATTCCACTGGCCCAAGCATGCTTGCCCATGAACAACCTTCGACCTTTGAACCAGTAATAAATCGACCTCATAAGAAACGTTCCCAGCTCTTGTGATCCCCTGTCTTATCCCCATTAATCTTAAGCTAGATTTACACCGAATCCATCCAGGAGGTTTACAAGAATAGACCGATTTGGTGATAAGAAAACGTCAAAATAACTAAGAAGATTCGTGTTGAGAGTTGATTTCATAAGAGAGGTTGTGACACAAGTATTAGCCAAAACTAGCGTGGTGGTTATCAACAGGATCAAGGAAAATTTGAGACAGAAAAACCAGATCCTTCTCTTTTAAACACAGCTGACCTAGCCGATTCATTTGATGTAAAAAAAGAAAATGAGTACTCATTCAAATTCTGTAAGGAAACATCTTGGCCAGAAAGTCTCTAATTTACAGCTGGCTTATTCTAGCTTTCTCTAAAAAATTAAAGTGTGACGTGATGTGTTCATTCAAAGATACTCTTTCCTGGTACCTATTTAGATACGTACTCCAAGAGATGCGAAAAATTTATATATTACAAAAATTGATAAAAGTTAAACACATAGAAAAAGTTCATCCCAGCCGATTATGAAATATAAATGCAATTTGTCAATTTACAAATATAATCGCATGATTTAAAATCATTTGCCCTATGTTAACATTATTCTAATTAAGTTCTTTTCGGCTATGATAAATAATTATTTTCGAAGTTTGGAGAGCCACTTCAATAGGAAATTCTTTTCACAAATTTCAAATATCTTTTCATTCTCATTTTTCACTTCACCGAGTTACTTTTATCATAAAGACGACAAAACTGGTTTGCATTAAATCTCAATAACGCAGCTGTGATATAAAATTAGATTTCTCTTCCCTATAATCCCGTCCTCTAACTTTTATTTAATCTTTCTCTCTATTCTTAGAACATGAAATACAGCTTTCATCTTTCGAAATTTGCCCCAACTATACCTGGTACTATAACTTCTGTAGCGATTTATAAAATTCTTAGTGAAGAAATAAATAATTAGTGACACTGACAGTCAGGGACGCCGGAGAAGGGGGGCGGGGGGGGGTCAACCGCCCTTGTTGCCATTCGATAGGAAGGGCAAGAGGGGGCCAGAGTGCCCTTTTCGTTAATGTGCCTTTGAAGCCGGCCAATTGTAATTATCAGAGAGATTCATATGAAATTCTGATTGTAGAGCTTAATTCATGACAACATTTCTCAAAACTTGAATGGCAGTTAGTAGAAGTAATTAGCAGAAGCTGGGAGTTATCTTTAAAATGCCTTTTACTCAAGTCTGCCCCCCTTGCCCCTTGGTTGTTCCGGCGTCCCTGGTGACAGTATCTTAAACGAATTCCATTATTGTGTACTTACGCTTGGAAAGACAATTCCACCCCCGTTCAGAATTGGAAACCAAATAAGTGTAAGGATTGCGATGCGTGGAAATTCTGGAATGGGAGGATTCTAAAGCAAACTGAGTTTGGAACTATATTGATCTTCTTGCAGACCCATTTAGTCACCTGAATTAGCATCTAATCTTACAACACAAAGCTAGGTTTATAGAGTCAATTATGCGCAGGAATGCCAAAGGAGAGAACTGCTTTGCCGTGTCGGCACTGTAAGAGGAATAAGGGTCAAACGTATGAATTTAAAAGATGAATCGACAATGTGACTCAGATGTTGTGGGACCTTTGTTGCAGATTTTGGTATATCCCACGGCTATGCAACTTCATAACTCCATGGCGAACAAAATGTCAGCGAAGCCGATTTAAATCTAACCAAAAAAGGATTTAGGAACTGATTTGAGATATCTGTGAAATGATCATTTTCTAATTATTGTTATTATGAGCTTGAGCCATTGAGCGCCAAGTTCGACCTTTCTTCTGCTCTGTTATTAACGACACTTACCGGTCTAACTTCTGTTACGTCATTGAATATACGTTTCTTCCAACGTATACGTAACACGTCATGGAACTGCTGCAAAGCTTTTCTGAAGCTCACCTACTTCAAAATGCAAATGAGTTTTGTAAGATACCAACTGGAGCCAGAGACTAGTACTAATTTACTTGCTACTCTGTTTTCTGTTATTAAGCTTTGCATGTAAACGAGTAATACAAGACT